AGGGGGTTTTGGGGTCCCCAGGGGTTTTGGGGTCTCTAAGGTGGTTTCTGAAGGATTTTGGGGTCCCTGGGGGTTTTGGGGGTCCTGGGAGGTTTTGGGGTCCTGAGGGGATTTGGGGCTCCTGAGGGGCTTTTGGGGGTCTCAAGGTGGTTTCTGAGGGGATTTTGGGGTCCCTGGAGAGGTTTTGGGGGTCCTGAGGGGATTTTGGGTGTCTCAGGGGTTTTGAGGGTCCTGGGGGTTTTTGGGGGTCCCTGGAGAGGTTTTGGGGGTCCTGGGGGTTTTGGGGTCCTGAGGGGTTTTGGGGTCTCAAGGTGGTTTCTGAGGGGATTTTGGGGTCCCTAGGGGGCTTTGGGGGTCCTGAGAGGTTTTGGGGTCCTGAGGGGATTTGGGGGTCCTGAGGGGGTTTTGGGGTGCTCAGGGGGGTTTCTGAAGGGATTTTGGGGGTCCCAGGGGTTTCTGGGGGTCCCTGGAGAGGTTTTGGGGTCCTGGGGAATTTTGGGGTCTCTGGGATGTTTTGGGGGTCCCTAGGGTGGTCTCTAAGGATTTTGGGGTCAAGGGGGATTTTGGGGTCCCTGGGGAAATTTTGGGGTCCAGAGGAGTTAATTTTGGGGTACTGAGGGGTTAATTTTGGGGGTCCAGGGGGTCAGTTTTGGGGTCCGGGAGGGGATTGAGGTTCGGGTTCTGGGGTCCGGGGTCAATTTGGGGTCCAGGGGTTCTGAAGCCTCAATTTTGGGGTCCCTGGGGTCAATTTTGGGGTCTGAGGGGGTAATTTGGGGTCCGGGGGCACTTTGGGGTCCTGAGGGGTCAATTTTGGGGTCTCAGGGGGTCAATTTGGGGGTCCTGAAGGGGTCAATTTGGAGGTCCAGGGGGTCAATTTGGGGTCCAGAGAGGTCATTTTGGGGGTCCTGGGGGCAGCTTTGGGGTCCAGGGGGTCAATTTTGGGGTCCGAGGGAGGAATTTTGGGGTTCAGGGGGTCAATTTGGGGTCCTGGGGTCAATTCTGATGTCCGGGGTCAATTTTGGGGTCCGAGGGGTCAATTTGGGGTCCAGGGGTAATTTTGGGGTCCGGGGGTCAATATTGGGGTCCAGGGGATTGAGGGTCGGTTTTGGGGTCTGGGGGTTGAGGGTCAGTTTTGGGGTCCCGGGAGGTCAATTTTGGGGTCCGGGGGTGAATTTTGGGGTCCGGGGGTCAATTTTGGGGTTCAGGGGGTCATTTGGGTCTGGGGGTCAGTGGGGTCCAGGGGTCAATTTTGGGGTTCAGGGGGAATTTGGGGTTCAGGGTCAATTTTGGGTCTGGGGGCCAATTTGGGGTCCGGGGGTCAATTTTGGGGTTCGGGGGCTTAAAGCTCATTTTGGGGTCCTGGGGGTCTATTTGGGGTCCGGGGGTTAAAGCCTCAATTTGGGGTCCGGGGGCCAATTTTTGGGGTCCTGGGGTGCCAATTTTGGGGTCCGAGGGGGTCAATTTTGAGGTCCAGGGGTGATTTTGGGTCCGGGGTCATATTTGGGGTCCGGGGGTCAATTTGAGGGTCCGAGGGGGTCAATTTGGGGTCCGGGGGTCAATTTGGGGTCCGGGGGGTCAATTTGGGGTCCTGGGGCCAAAATTGGGGTCCAGGGGTCAATTTTGGGGTCCTGGGGGTCAATTTTGGGGTCCAGGGGGTCAGATTTTGGGGTCCAGGGAGTCAATTTTGGGGTCCGGGGGTCAATTCTGGGGTCCGGGGGTCAATTTTGGGGTTCAGGGGGTCAATTTTGGGGTCCGGGGGTTCAGTTTGGGGTCCAGGGGGATGATTGGGTCAGTTTGGGTTCAGGGGGCCAATTTTGGGTTCCAGAGGAGTCAATTTTGGGGTCCAGGGCGTCAATTTGGGCCTGGGGTTGGTCAATTTGGGGATCCGGTGGGTGGGGAGGGTTTGGGGTCTCTCCCAGAATCACTCACCGTGTGGGGGTCCTGGGCGCGCGGGGGCTCGGGGCTCCCCTTTATGGGGCGCAGGGAGCCCTCCTCCCTCCTCCTTTTGTGACCTTCTGGGTCCCCTCTGCCCTTTGGGGCTCCCAAAATAGCGCCGCCCTCCCCCCACCGCCCGAGCGAGGAAGGGGAGGGAATCGCCCTCCCCACCCCACTTTGGCTCCTCGAGGGATTTTGGGGGACCTCTTTGGGTTTAACCTCCTTTACTCCTGTCCCCACCCCATTTTTGGGGTTTTTCCCTCAATTTTCATTTTTTTTTGGGGGTCCCCAAGACTCCCTCTCCCTTCTGGCCCCTCCCCACTTTCCGGGGTTCCTTTAGCCCTGCCCCCATTTTTGGGGTGCCCTGACCCTCCCCCTCGAATCCCCTCTCTCTTTTCACGTCGCCCCCAAAATTTTTGGGGACCCCTTGCCCCCCCAAATTTTCCAGGGCCCCTTTGACCCCTCCCCTTTTGGGGTCCCAATTTGGCCCCTCCTCTTTTTGGGGGTCTCCCCTTGCCTCTTTTAACCTCTCCCCACCCAATTTTTCCCTCCCCCCAAAATTCTTGGGGTCCTTTTTCCCCTCCCCCTCGTTTTTGAGGCTCCGCCCCTCCTTTGGCCCCTCCCCATTTTTAGCCCCTCCTCTTTTTGGGGTGCCCAAATACCTGAGGGGGCGTGGCCTAAGGAGGGGGCGTGGCCCCCTTAATAACCCGCTCGTTAATATTAATAAGCACCTCATTAATATGCATAAACCGAGCGTTTATCACCGTTATGCAAATGAGTTGGCTGGCGCCCCGCCCACCTCATTAATATTCAACGGTCACCGTCGCCATGGCAACCCCCGAGGCCACGCCCCCCGCGCCGCCCCTTCAGCCAATCAGAACCGCCCGGCAACGCTCCCTGATTGGCTGCCGGCCCCGGCCAATCAGAGCTCTCTGTCCCCTGTCTCGCATGCAAATTTATGCAAATGAGCGCCCCTTAAGGAGCAGCCCCGGCCCCTCCTCATTTCAGGTGGGCGGGGCTTCGAGAGGAGGAAAGGGGGTAAACCGAGGTGAGGCTGCGCTGAGGGGCGTGGCCTCGCTTAGTAGCCCTCGCCCTTTCCCTCGAAGCTCCTCCCCTTCCTTCCTTCTTCATTTGGGACCCCTTGGCCCCTCCCCTTTGGCCCCTCCCCCTTTCTGCCCTGCCATTAAACCTCCTTTAGCCCCTCCCACTTAAGCCACGCCCTCTGGGCCTCCCACCCCTCGTAGGCCACGCCCTTCTCCCAAAGCCGCGCCCCTCCCTCCCCGTTATTCCCGTTATCCTCCTCACCCCCTCAGGGCTTATCAGGCCACGCCCCTCCCATTCGGACCCCTTAGCCCCACCCACTTAAGCCACACCCCTCCTTGAGCCACGCCCACTTCCCAAGCCACGCCCCCCTGCTTAAGCCACGCCCTCCATCCCCTTATCCTACTCATCCCTCCTCCCCTGGACTCATCTGCTCCCTCAAGCCCCACCCACTTAAGCCACGCCCTCTTCCCCAAAGCCAAGCCCCTTGCTTAAGCCACGCCCCTTTCTCCATCCCCATTATCCCCTCATCCTCCGTCATCCTCCTCCCTCCTCCCTCCTCCTCCCCTCCCCTCAGCCCCTCCCATCAGGACCCCTCAAGCCCCACCCACTTAAACCACGCCCCCTTTCCAAAGCCACGCCCCTCTTAAGCCACGCCCCTCTCTCCATCCCTCATTATCCCCTTTATCCCCTCATCCCCATCCCCCTTTCCTCCCTCCCTCCCTCCTCCCCACTCCACTCCTCAGCCCTCCCTATCAAGACCCTCTCAAGCCCTCACTCCACTCCTAAACCACTGCCCACTCATCCAAGCCACGCCCACTCTTCGGACCTGCTTAAGCCACGCCCTCTCTCTCCATCCCATTATCCCCTCATCCCCCTCATCCCCCTCCCCCTCTCCCACCTCATCTCAAGCCCCACCCACTTAAGCCACGCCCTCCTTCAAGCCACGCCCTCGACATTCTTAAGCCACGCCCCCTCTCTCCATCCCCGTTATCCCCCTTTATCCCCGTCATCCCCATCCCCTCCTCCCCTCCTCCTCCTCCCCTCAGCCCCTCCCATCAAGACCCCTCAATCCACACCCATTTAAACCACGCCTCCTCGTCTAAGCCACGCCCTCACTCCATCCAACCACGTCCATCCCTCTTAGCCACCCCTCTCTCCACTCCCCATTATCCCCTTTATCCCTCTCCTCCTCAGCCCCTCCCCACCTCAGCCACTCCCTCAAGCCCCACCCACTTAAGCCACGCCCCTTTCAAGCCACGCCCCTCCATCCCATTATCCCCTTTATCCCCTCATCCCCCTCCTCCTCCCCTTCCTTCCCCCTCAACCTTCCTCACCAGGACCCTCAAGCCCCACCCACTTAAACCACGCCCTCCTCCAAGCCACGCCCCCACTCCATCAAACCACGCCTCCTCTAGCTCATGCCCCCTCTCTCCCTCCCCATTATCCCCTTTATCCCCTCATCCCTCCTCCCCTTCCCCTCCCCTCAGCCCCTCCCATCAAGACCCTCAAGCCCCACCCACTTAAGCCACGCCCCTTCCCAAGCCACGCCCCTCTCTCATCCCTTTATCCCTTTATCCCTCTCATCCCCCTCTCCTCCCCTCCCCCTCTCTCCCCTCCTCCCCCACCTTCTCATGCCCCTCCCCCTCCCTCCGCAGGCCCTCTCCTCCCCCCGGCGTGTCCGGGGGCGCGCGCGGGGGGCGATGCCGGCATTCCCGCCGGGAATGCTCCTCCCGCTGCTCCCGCTGCTCCCGGGCCTGCTCTTCTTCCCCGCGCTCTTCCTGCTCGCCCGCGCCGCCTTCCGCAGGATCGGGGGGGCCGCCCGCGACAACGACACCGTCCTGGCAGCCAGGTGACAATCCAGGGCTTGGGGACAGCCAGGGGGGACAGCCAGGGGACAAGGGGACAGCCAGGGGATGGGGACATTGGGGACATTGGGGATGCTCTTCCTGCTCGCCCGCGCCGCCTCCCGCAGGATCGGGGGCACGGCCCGCGACAACGACACCGTCCTGGCAGCCAGGTGACAATCTGGGGACAGGGGACAGCCAGGGGGACAGGGGACAGCCGGGGACAGGGGACAGCCAGGATGGGGACAGGATGGGGACAAGGGGACATTGGGGAGGGATAGCCAGGGATCGGACAGGATGGGGACAAGGGGACATTGGGGATGCTTCTGCCTGCACGCCGCCTTCCGTGCAGGATCAGGGGCTGCCCACGACAACGACACCGTCCTGGCAGCCAGGTGACAATCCCGGGCTTGGGGACAGCCGGGGGGACAGGGGACAGCCAGGGGATGGGGACAGGGATGGGGACAAGGGGACATTGGGGACGCTCCTCCTGCTCGCCCGCGCCGCCTCCCGCAGGATCGGGGGGGCAGCCCGCGACAACGACACCGTCCTGGCAGCCAGGTGACAACCCGGGGACAGGGGACATCACTGGGGACAGGGGATGGGGACAGGGATGGGGACAAGGGGACATTGGGGATGCTCCTCCTGCTCGCCCGCGCCGCCTCCCGCAGGATCGGGGGCAGCCCGCGACAACGACACCGTCCTGGCAGCCAGGTGACAATCCGGGGACAGGGGACAGCCAGGGGGACAGGGGACAGCCAGGGGATGGGGACAGGGATGGGGACATTGGGGACATTGGGGATGCTCTTCCTGCTCGCCCGCGCCGCCTCCCGCAGGATCGGGGGCAGCCCGCGACAACGACACCGTCCTGGCAGCCAGGTGACAATCCGGGGACAGGGGACATCACTGGGGACAGGGGACAGCCAGGGGACAACCAGGGGATGGGGACAGGGGGACATTGGGGATGCTCTTCCTGCTCGCCCGCGACGCCTCCCGCAGGATCGGGGGGACAGCCCGCGACAACGACACCGTCCTGGCAGCCAGGTGACAATCCGGGGGACAGGGGACAGCCAGGGGACAAAGGACAGCCAGGGGACAGGGGGACAGCCAGGGGACAGGGGACAACTGGGGGACAAGGGGACAGCCGGGGGACACCACGACACGACACTGTCCTGGCAGCCAGGTGACAATCCGGGGACAGGGGACATCACTGGGGACAGCCAGGGGGACAGGGGACAACCAGGGGGACAAGGGGACAGCCGGGGGACACCACGACAATGACACCGTCCTGGCCACCAGGTGACATCGCCGGGGTTGGGGACAGCACTGGGGGGACAGCGGGGAGGGGACAGGGAGGGGGACAAGGTGGCATCGGGATGGGGACAGGGGAAGAGGGGATGGGGACACCGCGACAGCGACACCGTCCTGGCCTCCAGGTGACATCACCGGGGTTGGGGACAGCCAGGGGGACAATGGGGAGGGGACAGGGACGGGAGAGACGGGGATGGGGACGAGAGGACAGCGGGCTGGGGACAAGGAGGGGACAGGGAAAGGACAGGGATGAGGATGGGGATTAAGAGGGGGATGGGAGAGACGGGGATGGGGACAAGGGGACAGCGATGGGGACAGGGATGGGGACAGGGATGGTGACAGGGAAGGGACAGGGATGAGGATGTGGATTAAGAGGGGATGGGGACAGGGATGGGGACAAGGAAGGGACAGGGATGTGGATTAAGAGGGGGATGGGAGAGACGGGATAGGGGCAAGGGGACAGGGAGGGGACAAGGGGACAGCGGGATGGGGACAGGGAGGGGATGGGGACAAGGAGGGGACGGGGATGGGGACAGGGAGGGGGACAGGGATGGGGACAAGGACACAGGGATGGGGATTAAGAGGGGGATGGGAGAGACGGGATGGGGACAAGGGGACAGCGATGGGGACAGGGGTGGGGACAGGGAAGGGACAGGGAAGGGACAGGGACAGGGCTGGGGACAAGGATGGGGACAAGGAGGGGACAGGGATGGGGACAGGGAGGGGGACAGGGACACAGGGACGGGGATTAAGAGGGGGATGGGAGAGACGGGGATGGGGACGAGGGGACAGCGATGGGGACAGCGATGGGGACAAGGGGACAGGGATGGGGACAGGGATGATGACACGGGACAGCGGGTTAGGGACAGGGAGGGGATGGGGACAGGGATGAGGACAGGGATGGGGAGAAGGGGACGAGGAGGGGACAAGGACAGGGCTGGGGATTAAGGGGGGGATGGGAGAGACGGGGATGGGGACGAGGGGACAGCGATGGGGACAGGGATGGGGACAAGGGGACACCGGGATGGGGATAAAGAAGGGGACAAGGGGACACCGGGATGGGGACAAGGAGGGGTCAGGGAAGGGACAGGGATAGGGACAAGGAGGGGACAGGGAAGGGACAGGGATAGGGACAAGGAGGGGACAGGGATGGGGATAGGGAGGGGACAGGGACATAGGGACGGGGATTAAGAGGGGGATGGGAGAGACGGGATAGGGACAAGGAGGGGACAGCGATGGGGACAAGGAGGGGACGAGGGGACAGCGATGGGGACAGGGAGGGGATGGGGACAGGGATGGGACAGGGATGGGGACAAGGAGGGGATGGGAACAGAGATGGGGACAAGGAAGGGACAGGGATGAGGATGTGGATTAAGAGGGGGATGGGAGAGACGGGATAGGGACAAGGAGGGGACAGCGATGGGGACAAGGGGACACCGGGATGGGGACAAGGAGGGGACAAGGATGGGGACAAGGGACAGGGATTAAGGGGGGGATGGGGGCAGGGATGGGGACAGGGATGAGAACAGGGAGGGGATGAGGGACAAGGGGACAAGGAAGGGACAGGGACGGGGACAAGGAGGGGACAGGGACACAGGGCTGGGGATTAAGAGGGGGATGGGAGAGACGGGGATGGGGACAAGGAAGGGACAGGGATGGGGACAAGGGACAGGGATTAAGGGGGGGGTGGGATGGCACAGGGATGGCGACAAGGGGACAGGGATGAGGACAAGGAAGGGACAGGGAAGGGACAGGGCTGGGGATTAAGAGGGGGATGGGAGAGACGGGATGGGGACAAGGGGACAGCGATGGGGACAGCGATGGGGACACCGGGATGGGGATAAGGGGACAGCGGGATGGGGACAGGGAGGGGATGGGGACAAGGAGGGGACAGGGATGGGGACAAGGGAACACCGGGATTGGGACAGGGATGGGACAGAGATGAGGACAAGGAGGGGACAGCGATGGGGACAAGGAGGGGACAGCGATGGGGACAAGGAGGAGACACTGGGAGGGAGTTTGGGGACACTGGGAGGGGTTGGGGACATTGAGGGGAGTTTGGGGACGCTGAGGGGGTTTGGGGACACTGGAGGGGGAGGGAGTTGGGGACAGCGCAGGTGGGGCGGGGCGGGATTATCCGCCCCACGTGGCCGGTGACGCGGGGACAGCGGCTTAGGACGTCACCCGTGTCACCACCCCCCACAAATCCCCCGCGGGGACGTGTCACCCGTGTCACCCGTGTCACAAGTGTCACCCGTGTCCCCTCCCCCATGGGCTGTGTCACCCATGTCACCCGTGTCACCTGTGTCCCCTCCCCCACGTGTCACCCGTGTCACCTGTGTCACCTGTGTCCCTCCCACGGGACAGTGTCACCCTGCCCCCTGTCACCCGTGTCACCCGTGTCACCACCCCCCACAAATCCCCCACCCCCCGCGGGGACGTGTCACCCGTGTCACCCGTGTCACCCGTGTCCCCTCCCCCACAGGACAGTGTCCCCGTGTCACCCGTGTCACCCGTGTCCTCTCCCCCACGGGACAGTGTCACCCGTGTCACCCGTGTCACCCTTGTCCCCTCCCCCACAGGACAGTGTCACCCGTGTCACCCGTGTCCCCTCTGTCACCCGTGTCCCCTCCCCACGGGCTGCGCCACTCGTGTCCCCTCCTCCAGGTGTCACCCGTGTCCCCCCTGTCACCCCTGTCCCCTCCATGTCCCCTCTTGTTGTCCCCAACACCCCCAATGTCCCCAACGCCCTCCAATGTCCCCAACACCCCCAATGTCCCCAAAATGTCCCCAAATCCCCCCCAACGTCCCCAAAATGTCCCCAATGTCCCCAAATCCCCCCAGTGTCCCCAACACCCCAATGTCCCCAATGTGCCCAAGTGACTCCAACATCCCCAATGTCCCCAAATCCCCTCAATGTCCCCAAAATGTCCCCAATGTCCCCAACACCCCCAATGTCCCCAAACCCCTCAACACCCTAATGTCCCCAATGTCCCAAAACCACCCCAATGTCCCCAATGTCCCTAAATCCTCCCAATGTCCCCAAATCTCCCCAATGTCCCCAAACCCCCCAATGTCCCCAAACCCCCCAATGTCCCCAAATCCCCCCAATGTCCCCAAATCCCCCCAATATCCCCAAATCCCCTCAATGTCCCCAATTCCCCCAATGTCCCCAAACCCCCCAATGTCCCCAACCCCCCAAGCCCCCCAGGTGTCCCCAGGTGTCCCCAACGTCCCCCCTGTCCCCAGGTTGGTGTCCTCCATCCAGGCCGTGATGGCCTCGACCGCCGGCTACGTCATCGCCTCCTCCTGCCCCCACGTCATCGATGACACGTGAGTCACACCCCAAAATCAGGGAAAATAACCCCAAAATTGGGGGGACTCTTAAAAATGGAACACCCCAAAAAAATGGGGACAAACCCCCCAAAAATGGGGACAAACCCCCCCAAAAATGGGGTCCGTCCTCGCCTCCTCCTGCCCCACGTCATCGATGACACGTGAGTGACACCCCCAAATGGGGGAAATAACCCCAAAAATTGGGGACAACACCCCCAAAAATTGGGGACACCCCCAGGTGTGGAACCATCCCAAAATAATGGGGACAAACCCCCCAAAAATTGGGGACACCCTCAGGTGTGAAACCACCCCAAAAAATGGGGACAAACCCCCCAAAAATGGGGACAAACCCCCCAAAAATGGGATCAAACCCCCAAAAATGGAGTCTGTCATCGCCTCCTCCTGCCCCCACGTCATCGATGACACGTGAGTCACACCCCAAAAATGGGGGAAACAACCCCAAAATATTGGGGACACCCCCAAAATTGGAACACCCCAAAAAAATGGGGACAAACCCCCCAAAAATGGGGAGAAATCCCCCAAAAATGGGGACAAACCCCCCAAAAATGGGGTCTGTCCTCACCCTCCTCCTGCCCCCACGGCATCCATGACACGTGAGTGACACCCCAAAATGGGGAAAACAACCCCAAAATTGGGGGAAAACACCCCCCAAAAAATGGGGACAAACCCCCCCAAAAATGGGATCAAACCCCCCAAAAATGGGGAAAAAAAACCCAAAAATGGGGACAACACCCCCAAAAATGGGGACAAACCCCCCAAAAATGGGGTCTGTCCTCACCCTCCTCCTGTCCCCACGTCATCGATGACACGGGAGTGACACCCCCAAAATCGGGGAAACAACCCCAAAAAATGGGGAAAACCCCCCCAAAATATTGGGGACACCCCCAAAATATTGGGGACACCCCCAGGTGTGGAACCACCCCAAAATATGGGGACAAACCCCCCAAAAATGGGGGAAAACACCCCCCAAAAATGGGGAAAACCCCCCAAAAATGGGGTCCGTCCTCGCCTCCTCCTGTCCCCACGTCATCGATGACACGGGAGTGACACCCCCAAAATCGGGGAAAATAACCCCAAAAATTGGGGACACCCCCAGGTGTGGAACCATCCCAAAATATTGGGGAGAAACCCCCCAAAAATGGGGAGAAACCCCCCAAAAATGGGGATAAACCTCCCAAACCCAGGTGTGCCACCCACAGGTGACACCCCCAGGTGTGACACCCCCACAGGTGACACCCCCACAGGTGACACCCCCACCCCAACAGGTGACACCCCAACAGGTGACACCCCCAGGTGTGACACCCCCACAGGTGACACCCCCACCCCCACAGGTGACACCCCCACAGGTGACACCCCCAGGTGTGACACCCCCAGACTCACAGGTGACACTTTGAGACCCCACAGGTGACACCCCCAGGTGTGACACCCCCAGGTGACACCCCCACAGGTGACACCCCCACCCCCACAGGTGACACCCCCACAGGTGACACCCCCAGGTGTGACACCCTCACAGGTGACACCCCCACAGGTGACACTTTGAGACCCCACAGGTGACACCCCCACAGGTGACACCCCCAGGTGACACCCCCACAGGTGACACTTTGAGACCCCACAGGTGACACCTCACAGGTGACACCCCCAGGTGACACTCTCACTCCCTACAGGTGACACCCCCACAGGTGACACCCCCAGACCCTCAGGTGACACCCCCACAGGTGACACCCCCACAGGTGACACCCCCACAGGTGACACCCCCAGACCCACAGGTGACACCCCCACAGGTGACACCCCCAGACCCCACAGGTGACACCCCCACAGGTGACACCCCCACAGGTGACATCCCCACAGGTGACACCCCCAGGTGTGACACCCTCACAGGTGACACTCCCAGACCCCACAGGTGACACCCCCACAGGTGACGCCCCCACAGGTGACACCCCCACAGGTGACACCCCCACAGGTGACACCCCCACAGGTGACACCTCCACAGGTGACACCCCCAGACCCACAGGTGACACTCCCACAGGTGACACCCCCAGACCCCACAGGTGACACCCCACAGGTGACACCCCACAGGTGACATCCCCACAGGTGACACCCCCAGGTGTGACACCCCCACAGGTGACACCCCCAGACCCCACAGGTGACACCCCCACAGGTGACGCCCCCACAGGTGACACCCCCACAGGTGACACCCCCACAGGTGACACCCCACAGGTGACACCCCTAGACCCCACAGGTGACACCCCACAGGTGACACCCCCACAGGTGACGCCCCCACAGGTGACACCCCCAGGTGTGACACCCCCAGACCAACAGGTGACACCCACACAGGTGACACCCCCAAATCGGTGTCACTGAGGTCATCTGGCACACCTGAGACCCCCAAATTGGGGTCACCTGCACACCTGGGACCCACCTAGGACCCCTGAGACCCCCCCAAATTGGGATCCCTGAGGTCACCTTGCACACCTGGCACACCTGGGACCTCCAAAATTGACACCTGGCACACCTGGGGCACACCTGGCACACCTGAGACCCCCCCAATTCGGTGTCACTGGGGTCACCTGCACACCTGGGACTCACCTGGGACCCACCTGGCACACCTGGGACCTCCAAAATTGACACCTGGCACACCTGAGACCCTCCCAAATTGGGGTAAATTGGGGTCACCTGCACACCTGGCACACCTGGGACCCTGAATTTGGGGTCACCTGCACACCTGGCACACCTGAGACCCACCTGGCACACCTGGGACCTCCAAAATTGACACCTGGCACACCTGAGACCCTCCCAAATTGGGGTAAATTGGGGTCACCTGCACACCTGGCACACCTGGGGCACACCTGGGGCACACCTGGCACACCTGGCAGCCCCCCCTAAACCTCACCTGTCCCCCCCAGGCACTGGCTGGCCTCGGCCTACCCCCCGTTCGCGGTGCCCTACTTCGTGTATGACGTGTATGCCATGTACCTGTGCCACCTGCACACCTGGGCACACCTGGGGCACACCTGAGCTCACCTGTGTCACCTGTCCCCCCCCAGGCACTGGCTGGCCTGGGCCTACCCCCCATTTGCGGTGCCCTACTTCGTGTATGACGTGTATGCCATGTACCTGTGCCACCTGCACACCTGGGCACACCTGGGGCACACCTGGCACCCCCCCAAATGTCACTCCCTGAGCTCACCTGTGTCACCTGTGCCCCCCCAGGCACTGGCTGGCCTGGGTGTACCCCCCGTTCGCGGTGCCCTACTTCGTGTATGACGTGTATGCCATGTACCTGTGCCACCGGCACACCTGGGCACACCTGGGGCACCTGGGACCCCCCAAATCCCCCTTTAACCCCCCAAATCAGGGTCACCTGCACACCTGGGACCCACCTGAGTGCCCCCAAATTGGGGTAAATTGAGGTCACCTGCACACCTGGGCACACCTGGGGCACACCTGGGGCACACCTGGGCACACCTGAGATCCCCCAAATCTCACTCCCTGAGCTCACCTGTGTCACCTGTGCCCCCCCAGGCACTGGCTGGCCTCGGCCTACCCCCCGTTCGCGGTGCCCTACTTCGTGTATGACGTGTATGCCATGTACCTGTGCCACCTGCACACCTGGGCACACCTGGGGCACACCTGGGGGCACACCTGGGGCACCTGGCACCCCCCTAAACCTCACCTGTCCCCCCCAGGCACTGGCTGGCCTCGGCCTACCCCCCGTTTGCGGTGCCCTACTTCGTGTATGACGTGTATGCCATGTACCTGTGCCACCTGCACACCTGGCACACCTGGGGCACACCTGGGACCCCCCTAAACCTCACCTGTCCCCCCCCAGGCACTGGCTGGCCTCAGCCTACCCCCCGTTTGCGGTGCCCTACTTCGTGTATGACGTGTATGCCATGTACCTGTGCCACCTGCGGCGCCCGCAGCTGAAGGGCCACGCCCGCCCCGCCCCCGGCGCCGCCGCCGCCGCCGCCTTCCTGCGAAAGGACCTCCTGATGGTGCTGCACCACCTGGCCATGGTGCTCGTCTGCTTCCCCGTGGCCACCGTGAGACACCTGGGCACACCTGGGGCATCAAACACACACCTGGGCACACCTGGGGGCACCTGGGCACACCTGGGCACACCTGGGCACACCTGGGGGGCACTGAGAGGGGATTTGGGGGCACCACCTGGCCATGGTGCTCGTCTGCTTCCCCGTGGCCACCGTGAGCTCACCTGGGCACCTGGGCACACCTGGGGGCACCTGGGGGCACCTGGGCACACCTGGGCACACCTGGGGCATCAAACACACACCTGGGCACACCTGGGGCACCTGGGCACACCTGGGCACACCTGGGCACACCTGGGGGCACTGAGGGGATTTGGGGGCACCACCTGGCCATGTGCTGCCTGCCAC